TTCTTATACTTTTTATACCAGGAAGATTAGTGGGCACAAGGCAATACTGCAGATCATGCAAACTGTCACCTATCCTGCCAGCTCATCTTGTAGGTGTGGGGTGACAGCCAGGCCCGGATCTTCTTCAGTGCCTGCCAGGTCTTCTCTTTAAACTTCAGCAACACTTGGGTCTGTGACAAAGGACTGGCTCCTCCTGCAGATCATCTCCACCGTCAAAGTTGAACCCTTGGAACCAGGGAGAAACCAACGCAGATTTCAGTCCGTTCTCATGGATCCCAGTTCATCCTTGCAGTTGCCGGTTTTCTTGCTTCCTCCACTTGACAATGTGATTTGACCTTTGATCAGCAGTTCTGCTCCTCTGATAGAACTCTAATACTCACTTATGTCTGTTTCCTGCCATGAAAACACAAGCACTGTGAGTAAAACATTTTGTCTGTTTTGTTTACTGCTCTTGTCCCAGCACCAAGAACAGGGCCTGGCATATAGTAAGAATTCATTAAATATTTGCTGATGAACAATTTTAAAAACATAAGGCACTAAGAATAAATATTAAAGATGACAAGAAAAGGAAGAGACTAATCACTGATGTTCTAAAAGAAAGATCCCTGTAAAAATATAAATAAAAACTGAAATGTCTTAATGAGCAGGTAGGAGGAAGGAAGTCTGTAACTGCAACACCTCACCCACTTTGATTGAGGCAGTTTTAACTCGTTTCAACAAATATTTACATTCCCCTCTTTAAGAGATGAAGCGTAATTTCCCTTCCTTTTTTGTGAGCTGAAATTAGTAACTCACTTCTAACAAGTGATGGCGTATAACTTCTCAGTCTAGGTTATTAAAAAAACATCAGGACTTTGTTTCTTGGATCACTCACTTTGGGGAAAACCAGCTGCTGTAACTTGAAGACGCTCAAGCAGTCCTATGGAGACCCACAGGCTGAGGAGTTGGAGGCTAACAACTACTTAACTTGCCAAGATCTTGAGCCAGCCACCTTGGAAGAGGATCCTACAGCCCCAGTGAGCCTCCTGACTGCAACCTAATGAGATACACAGACAGCACTAAACTGCTCTTGGATTCCAGTCTGCAGAAATTATATGAGATGATAAACCCTTATTGTCTTAATCCACCATGCCTTAAGCTAATTTGATACATTGCAGTTGATAATAAATACACTGAATAATAAAGAAACACACTAAAAATTGGAAGTGAAGGATTGAAGAAATCAAAAATAACTCCAAGGTTTTGAGCTTCGAATAATTTGGAAAAACTCTGATATAACTGACTATAAGTGACTTGATTCCATTGTAGTATTGAGGCAAGGGTCATGTCTGCTCAACAAACATTTGCTAGAGTCTTTTAAATGTTAAACAACTGAAAAAAGTGTTCAGAACTGAAAAGAATATTCTAGTACAGATAGGGGAGAACTCTTATCTCCTCTCACCTAAACACTACATTTTTATTACAATTTTCTCAGCAGTGGTATCACATTGCTAGTATACACCAACTGCAAGTTTAAGTACCCTAAGTATTTTAAGATGAAAATAAGCCCACAGGCCATTTCCTGACCGTATATCCTCCCACTTATCTCAACAGTCACATGACAGATGTGCAGTTATGTGAATTTTGTTTCCCTGATGCTTACCATCGAGTCTATACTAAAACCCTACAAGAAAAAGGAAATAGAGTAGGGAGAAGTAGCAGAGTTTGAAGAATGAGTTTTTAATAACAAATGTTTCAGTTATGTATCAAATGCACAAATGAAATACTGTCCATCATTTTATCAGTCTAACAGCTTCACCTCACATTCTACCTTGAAAATACTTAAATCTTTATTTACAATTTATACTTCTTCTATTACTACATTATTCTAAGCCTTAAAGATTTGGCTTAAACAGTGGTTAAATTCATTAGGTATGATCTCAAATTCCTCCAAATTTAGAAATATGGCCGTCACAGCCACAAATTTCACACTAATAGATAGAAATCATCATTAAAGCACCACTTCTTAAAGTGAAAATATAATAGACTGTAAAGGTATGATTGCTTTTATTAAGCTGTATTTTTAAATAGTTTTAGATTTACAGAAAAGTTGCAAAAATGATACAGGGAGTTCCCACACATCCCTCTTCCAATTTCCCCTATTGTTAATATCTTACAATATCATGTACCTCTGTCACAACTAAAAAACCAACATTGGCACACTGTTGTTAACTAAATTCTACACTTTATTCAGATTTCTCTAGTTTTCCATTAAAGTCCTTTTTCTGCCCAAGGATACAGCCAGGATACCACATCACATGCAGTCATTACGTCTCATCTCCTATGCTGTGGCAGTTTCACAGACTTTTGTTTTTCATGACCATGACAGTTTTCAGGACAGGTTAGGAAATTTGTAGAGTGTCCATCAGTTTGATTCTGTCTGATTTTTTCTCATGGTTAGACTGGGGTTAGGGCTTTGAGGAAGAATAACACAGAAGGAGGTGAAGCACTCTTCTCAATGCACCTTATCGGGATACACACTATCAACACGACTTCCAACTCACGCTGATATTTCTTACCTGGCCCAGGTAGTGCTTGCAAGATTTCTCCAATGGAAAGTTATGCTTTCCCCTCTTGCCTTACCCTACCCTTTGAAAGCAAGTAACTAAGCACAGCCCATATGCAAGACAATGTTGGGGGAGGGAAGAGGGATTAAACTCCACCTCCTGGAAAGAACCATCTTTTGAAAATAAATATAAAACTTACTCAATTCCTGAAAAACATACTGAGTACCTCAAAGCATTTGACAATGTAATTTAGTGCCCATTTAATGTGAGTCACCCTGCTTAGTTAGGCACCTCAAATAAGCGTTAGACACAGTCCTTCACCACGAGGAGTTTATAACATGATAAAGTACCACAAGAAAACTGCTGGTTAAGTAGTATAGTGTCACAAAAAGGGAGAAATCAAATTCACTTGGTGTAATGAAAAGTTTCATAGAACAAGAGATATTTAAAAATGCAAAGTATTTAAAGCTGAGTAGGATTCTGACAGATGAAAACAGATGGAAATTCAGCATCCACTAATGATAAAAAAAAAAACTCTCAACAAAGCGGGTATAGAGGAAATGTACCTCAACATAATGAACACCATGTATATCAAGCCCACAGCTCACATCATACTTAATGGTGGAAAGCTGAAAACTCTTCCTCTAAAATGAGAAACAAGACAACCAATAAACTCATAGTACAATCTGCCAGTTATAAAGTAAATAAGTCCTGGGGATATAGCGTACAACATAGTGGCTATAGTTAATAATTCTGTACTGCATATTTGAAAACTGCTAAAAAAGTAAATCTTAAAAGTTCTCCTAAGAAAAAAAATGTAACTATGTATGAGGGTGGAGGTTAACTAGACTTACTGTGATGATCATTTCACAATAGTATGAGATCATTATGTTGTACACCTAATATAACTGTTTTGTCAACTTTAGGAAGAAAAATGGGATTGGAAAAAATAGATGGGAAATATGTGGGAAGACATTCAAGATAGAGCAAAGGGCATAAACAAAAATACGACGGTTCTCGCTCTTTCATGCAGTGTTTTAGCACTTTAATCCAATGGAAACATTGATTTTAAATCTTCAGTAAATCTTAATAGCTTGGGATAAGTGGCTGGTATGAGCTGCAGTTGAGTCCCCCAAAATTTATTATGAAGTCCTAAACCCCAGTACTGATAATATGGCTGTATTTGGAGACAAGGTCTTTAAAAAGATAATTAAGGTTAAATGAGATCATTAGGACAGGCTCTAAACTAATATGATTGGTGTCCTTATTAGAAGGTATTAAGATAAAGAAAGACACGGAGGGAAGAGGATGTGAAGAAACAGGGTCATCCACAGGCCAAGGAGAGTTCTCTAAAGAAACAAAACTATAGGCAGCTTGATCTTAGACTTCTAATCTTCAGAACAGTGAGAAAATAAATTTGTTGTCTAAGCCAGTCACTCTGTGGTATTTTGTATACCAGCCTCAGCAAAATAACACAGATGGTCAGTTAGAGATTCTAAATAAAATCTAATTTGGCAAAACTTCTCACTGTGATTTGGTATTTAAGCCTTGTTACTGAATAGTCCTTTCCATTGACTAGTTAGATGAAGACAGTGAAGTAAGGTGAAGTTAGAGAAAGAAAGATATGGTAAGATAAGGTCAGCCTTAGAAAAAGCTTTAATGCTATCAAATTAAAATTTGTCCCACAAACTTGTCCATTCCAACCCTAACCATAACAGCAACTTTTGCCCTTACTAATTAAATTCTTCCCACCAGAAAAGTATGTAGTGATTCTATGAAGCTTCGTGGATCTCTACTGTAGCACTTCATTCACCAGACCTCTTGAAAACATTACCCATTACAACTGCTGCAACGTAGTGCCCCAAATGGTCCACTAAATAAAAGTGTTACCCAGATCCTCTTTTTTTGTTTTCACACCGGAGGAAAATAAAATGGTAAAGTAAAAAATAAAAGAAGTGGCATTTAATGAGCACATGCCTAAGGCTAAAAATATTCCTACACATCTGTAATTCCCCTTTACAAGCAGCAGCGCTACCATTTCTCTAACTGCACTCTGAGAAACGCACGGCAGGGGAGGTAAGAGCAGGCAGGCGCTGGCTTTCAAGAGCCGACGGAAGCTCAGGAGCGGCTACACGCCGACCACAAACTGGGGTCACAGGGCAACACGGAAAAGCGTACAGACGCACGGAAATGGGTCTCCCGCACACTCGTCCGGTCTAACATCCTTTCCTTTTCCTATTCTTGTGTTTACAAAAGTCGGCGAGGCTTTCCCTAAGAGACTAGACTCCCCCAAACCAAAAATAAACGAAAAAAAATAAAATAAAACAAAAACTGACTGCAGACCATTGGACACCTGCCCTTCAGAACAGCAATTTCAAGGGAAGACGAAGGATACGGAGTTTTTTAGCAGAGAGGCAAAAAACAATACAGCTAGTTCCATCTAAATTAACCTACCAAAAGGGTAAGAAGCAGAGAACTATCGAACCTGGTGTTTCGGTAACAATGGTGACCGCTAAGGTAACTACCGTGAAGTAAACAGGAAATAGCACAACCGTTCTACTTTCTTCATTCAGCGGGTGCCCGCCCTCGTCAGGATTTCCTGGTCTCGCGAGAACTTTCTGGCAGCTCTGTGTGCGCATGCGTCGGAATCGGAGGCCAGGTGAGCAGCACAGATCAAGAGGCTAGGCGGGGGAGGTGAAGAGGCGGAGGAAGGGGCGGGGCCACCAGGAAGGCGGAGGCCCACAGATAGGGGTGGGACGTGGCGGGCTTGGGGTTGGGGTGGCTGGGCGGAGAGAGAAAGCGCGTTGGCCGCGCTCCTCGCGGCGCTTCCCCGGAATAGCGTCATCAGCTCTATAAGAGAGCGTGTGCAGAAGGGCTCGCTCTTTTACATCCGGGGAGCGTCTAGTTTAGGTTAAGGTACGCGTTCGTGTTTTGTGCGCTAAAATACTTGGGAAGGAACTTTTTGTCTTAGTTTAAGATGCAGGAGATTCAGCAATCTTGTAGTGGTAGGTCGAGGTCAGTTTTGGAAAGCCTGAGTAGACTGAGACGTCCCTTAGTTCGCTCGGCAGCCACGTGCAGCCCGGGGAGCTGAGTCGGAAGCCTAGCGCGCGTGGGCCGTGGGCCCTCGGGCAAGGGTTAAATGCAGCTGATGCCTCCGGTGTAGAAGTCGTTAGCTCTGCTGTCGGTGTCATGTGGCCATCTTGAATCGCCTCTGCCACTATTTAATAGTAACACCGTGCCCTGATGACCCGCCAGTTTGATCCAGGTGGTGAGTAGTATCTGCAGTTGTGCTTGCTGATCGTTCCTGGGATTATGGATCTCCATGTGTCTTTGGGACCTGTCAGCTGTGGCAGTCTCCCTTCCTAGCCATGGAAGAGCATATTCTTGTTTATTGGCAAAGCTGTCACCATTTAATTGGTATCAGATTCTGACTTGCACAAGTAACATTCTTCACTTTTAAAACCTGGAGGTTGCTAGATTATTGGGCATACATCTAACTGTTGTTCACATGTTTCTAGGAACCTGAACTAATTGTTCCTGTGAGAGATGGAAGACATAACAAGGTATGTTCCCTTTTTATTTTTTTCTGTTCATATTTCTTAGCTAACCTGAAACCTGTAGTGCTAAGGATTTGAAAGGCCAAAATTGACCCATTTTGTAATTTGAAAGAGTAAATGTCCAACTAAATAGAAGGTAACTAAAATAGCTGCCAAGATCTCAGCACCGTGAGTTAAGTACACAAAACAGTTTTACAAAGCTGGTTTTTCTTTTGCAGATACCAAGAAATCCAAAGCAGCATGGGTGAAGTCTTATTTAGCATCCTGTGGTGCACTGCCAAACGATTTTAAATATCAGCAGCTTGGGGACCAAGTGTGGCGAGTAATATTCTGGAAACTATTTTCAGTATAGTCCTGAATATTATTTGTAAGTAATGTGGTATTTAAAGTGTAGAATAAATGAGTGCTTCCTTGTCATAACTAAATAAAAAAATGCTTGATTTGTATAGATAATCAGTGTTCCCTGACTGAATGATTAATAAGTGCAAAGATAGTTAGAAATAGTGGACAGACTACCTTCTGTTCTACTCTGGAAGTAGCATGAATATTGTTGTAAGGTATTTCAGCATTAGGGGGAAACGCTTATACATAAAAACCAGGTTACCCCTAAGGGAGAGAGCACAGTCATTTTATACCACACAGACAATTAAGGGAACTATGCATGAAAAGCTATGCATTTTATTTACACAAATGTTCACTGAACACTAGTATCTTTAGAAGTCACACTTAAATATTTCACAAGAAAAAATTGGCTATAATGAAGGCATATTTTACAGACCAATATTCTACTTTAAGGTTGAGCAAACTGCAGGCTGCCTGTTAATTACCTGTCCTTTAAGTTTGCCAATCTTGGGTCTAACATTTCAATATGAACATTGCCTATACCAGCACTGTAATTTAACTAGAAGGGTGGCCCGTGAGAAAGCCTTGATAAAATAAATTTTCTCACTTGTATTGCACGTTTTTCCCAAGCCCTTGTGCAAGTGTGCACCCCTCAATAAGTCTAGAGGCAAATTCTTACAAAGTTTATCCTTTATCAGATTCATGAGCTTTTACAAACATTTTCATGCTATTTTACCTGGCATAGTATTACAGTTCTGTAAGAGGTAACCTATAAAGCACTTCTAGGTTAGCACCAGTTTTTTATAAAGCTATAAATTTACAAAAAGGACACAATTTGCAGAAAGGAAAGAGGTGAAGTCCCTCCATGGTGGATTAGCCATTTAAGAGGATTGTGTAACCCGTCTTAATGTTAGTTTGCACTCACCTCTTCACGTATTTTTACGCATCTATAATTTAGATATACAAAAATTGTTTGAAATTATCTGGGATTTTGGGACGGATATAAGATATTAGGAATCATTCTCACCTCTGAGGAGGATTACTCAAGTATCCCAAGGGGCTTATCTTCTATATTTGGGCAGACTGCACTGCTACCAAGAATGGCCCTGTAGAGGTGCACGATTTCCCTTAGGACAGAACTGTTGTGAGGGAGTTGGGGGAACACCGCTGTCGGCATTGGGGCTCCTTCCTGTTCTGGAGCTTGGATTCAAAGCCTTCCATCAGCTGCCTCACCTTGACCTCTTAAGCTTTTGCAAACCAGGGGTAGTATAAAATCTTGGCAAATTGCCAACGAGGTTCATGGCCACCCAATGCATTGCCTAGCACATTATATGAATTAAGTTATTTTAGAGCTTTCCCCACTATCCAGGCAGGTAAAGCATTTTTAAAGGTGTGTTTTTATTAGATGGGACTGTACCAGAACAGTCTTGGGAAATCTGCAGGTGGAAGTCAGTTACCCGAAAGCTGCAATAGATGGCACTCTTGTATCATAGTCTGGAAAATGGCAGCTGCTAAGGAAATACTTGCTTTACTAAGCTATAAAATTTGAAGTGATTAAAAGTAATCAGCAAATGATGCTGGCAAATAAGGTGGATAAGTTAGGCTGTGTATTTAACAACTTGAAGGCATTATTCTTTTATTTTGTTACCAGAATTTTTCTAAATTTTACCAGCAACATAGAAGGTGGCTAGAATGTTCTGTTTGCTATAGTGCTTGGTACAAAGGTTTCATTCAGGAATGTTTTGTGACACTGATCCTGTTCTAGTCTAGGTTTATAATGGAATTCCTTTACCTTTTTGGCCCTTGATTTCCTCACCTGACAAAGGCTAGAGAAACCCAGCGTGTAGATTTCTTGTCAGCCTTTTGAAAAAACTGAGCTCAAAAATTAAACAGGAAAACAGTCCCTCTTATTTTGAGTGTAGTAAGAGTATTTTTTTAATCAAATGTGAGCTCTTAATATGAATATATATCGATTCCATTATGAAGGGAGTTCTCAATTCACAGATGTAAAAACAGCCTTACTGTACAATCAGTATACAGTAATGTGTGGGAGATGCTGAGAAAGAGACAAGACTCGAATGAGAATAATGGGTTTAGTCTTGTTTGAAACTAGTTTGTGTAGGCAACAATGCTACTCTCAGGATAATTGGTACTACACTGAGGTATCTGTAACCAAAATGTTCACAAATTCTTAAAAGCAGCAAAGGGTACATAACTTATCACAACACAGACATGGGTCTCCGTTCCCATTAGTTGGTATCTCTGACTGCTAATGTTGAAAACTCTCCAACAGACTCTTCAAATATTACTGAGGTTTCCTTGAAGGATTTACAGTTTGGTGACACTTTTTATCCAAGGTACAAAGGCTGACACTTTTGTGTAAACACCAGGGGAATCCTTGACTCCACAGCCATACCCCCAGGAGGTCACCCCATACACAACCCAGCTCTCTCCTGAACGTTCACACATGAGTGGTCCTCCACTGTCTCCCTGGCAGCTGTCCACGCGTTTGTGTTCATGGAGGTTTCCAGCACAGAGCATCCTTCCTGTGAACCGGCCCTTATAACGGTGTGCGCAAAACCGCTTCGGAAGTAAGGGGATGGCTGCTTGTTGTAGAGTTCTTGAGTAGGCTCGTCCTATACAGACGCAATAAAGTGAGTCAGATTCCAGCTGAAGTTGCCTGACACACATGAGCTGAACACTATACTCCTCAGGGATGGTGGGGGGTTGTGAAGGAGAAAACCCAAGTGGGTTGGATTCCTCCACTTAAACCTCAGCAGCTCTGCTTTCGTCTATTCATTATTTAGGAATCCTCCATAAGATTTAGTTTGATAAAGAGCTCCATTACCAAAAAACCCAAAGCCCTTTGTTGGGATAGCTACATCAAAGTCATCTGGGAAACCTTTTTAAAATGTGACAGCCAGGCTGCTGGTAGGGGTAGGGCCTGAGCTCTAATGGGAACAACAGTGCCCTCAGGATACAAATCCAAATTCCATGTATGCATCTTGCTAGGCAGAATTTCCAAACTAAGCCTAAATCCCTTAAAGATTTTGCTATCCATTGGACACCCAAATATGTGGATAACCCAGGACACAGAAAGGTGCCCAGATCTTTGTTCCTTTGTGTTATTTATGTTACCTGTGTCTCCCCATCCTGTTATGTAACAATTGGAGGCTGTTTTCTGTGGCCTCTCTCTCCAGAGTGGCAAACAGGCCGGCAAAACATGGCTGCTGAACCTGGCGCACTGCTCTTCTGGTCCTTGCAGTCTAACCAGCGCGATGTCGTAGTCACTGCTGTCCGGTCGATACGCCCGGTGAATCACAATCTGCTGAACTCCGATCTCTTCTTCAAACTCCTCCGGCACCAGAGTGTGATAATCCCCAACCCGGACAGCATAGTTCCTAGTGCTGTTGCCGTACCTGAAGGGCAGAGAGAGCAAACGGGAGGCTTGTTTCAGAGGCTGAAAATCTGTCATTGTCAGCCAGGAAGGTTAACAGAGATACTTGGAAGGCTCTCTTCCAAATCATTAACCCCTTTTATAAGTTTAACCTTTCTTTCCATTTCTCTTCTCTCGCCCTCATCCTCTAAACCCACTGTCGTCTTTTTTTTCCTTCATTTCACTAATCCAGGTTACCTACTGTCTTAATTCTTTTCTGAGAAGCAGCAAATGTGGAAGATGTATGAAAAGTAAAGGGTAATCATTAACCTGTCATTTCCCCACCATGAAAAAGGATCAAAACAGGAACAAATACAGGCAAAATTATCACCCTGTATTTGCTGTCGTCATTCTTCTGTCATTTCCAAGGTTGTTAGTTCATCATGAAGTTCCATGAGGGCAGAAACCACGTCTGATCTAACTGTATCCCCCACAAAGCGCTTAGCACAATCCACCTGACTCCCCTTTCCTGTGAACTGAATGCAAACCAAAACTCTTATCTTCAGGGAAACATATTCCCAATGTGTTTTCATCCCTTAAGTCTTCGTTGGGACATCACCTCCACGAGACCTACTTTGACACTCATTTGAAATTGCGACTCACCCTTGTTTATTCTACCATTCCCCAGTATATTCCCAATATCCTTAATCTGATCTACTTTAACTTTTTTTTTTAAACACTGCTTTCTAACAAACTACCTAACTTGCTATTTATTGTATGTCTTGTTCTTAAATACCTAGAATGGTGATACCAGTTACGCAGGAATGCAGCACACGTTTGTTGATTTAGTGAATGAATGAATGGACGAATGTATATTTTTAATGTATGTGTCTTTTCTCCATAGGAACTATTCAATTAAAATAGCAACACAATATTTACTTAACTGATAGTTCTCAGCCAGTTTTTCAACCAATATACCTTGATTCTGATACATCTGCCTAGAGCAGTTTCTCAACCTCAGCACTACTGACATCAGAGACCAGATTACTCTTGGTGGTAGGGGACTGTCTGGTGCACTGCAGGATGTTTAGAAGCATCCCTCAGTAGCGTGCACACTCGAATATACACACACACCCCCTAAACATGTCTCCAGACATTGACAGATGTCCCGTAGGCTGCAAATTGTCCCCAGCTGAGAACCACCAACCTAGAATGCATAATGCAGCCCACCTCCTGATCACTTCCTCTTTCTCCCTGAAGAGTACAGCCCCTTGCTAAGGGAGCAAGCCCCCTCTACCACTACTCAAAACATTCTCAATGACTTAATTCCCAACACTTCTCCCTTTCAGCTCCCTAACTTCCTGAGCTACAGGGAGTGTATTCATTCAGCCCCCCACCTAGAGCTAATATTCAGCAAATACTACAAATCTATAAAGTCTCAATTTCAAGCATCTCAAACTTGACTGACTACCTCTTATCTTCACAGTTTTACAACTCTACGGTTCTTCGGCCCCATTGGACTTAAGTCTTTCCACCCCACCAGTTGTTCCATTTCAATCTCACTCTCACACCCTTCTTACCAGGCTTGGAGTCCACAATCACTGTTTTGCAAACACTCAGTCCTTCCTTTTATCTACCAAAACTTCGACTCTGTTTTCATCAACTCACCACCTACTTTCTGCTAGCATCCGACTGTTGAAAGGGACAAACATACATGTAACAGCTCTCATCTTAATTTTTTTTAATCAAAACTTCAGTGTCTTCTACTGGATATAAGGCCTGTACTTGAATGTGAATTTGGAGAAGTGGTATTCAAAAGCTGAAATTTTCTAGTGACTGCCTAGTCTAAATAAAACCTTTCATTTACTCCTATAATATTACTGGAAGTTGTAAGTTCTAAGCCCTAGGTGGGGTTCTGGCAACATTGCAACATAAAAAGTGATTTTCTTAACTACACACAGTTTTGAATACTCAGTATGAAAAAAGATATAAAATATGTTTTATAGATAACTAAATAGATAAGAATATCAAATACTTCAATTTCTATATTATATTTTGCAATGATAATATTTTGGATATACTGAGTTAAATATATCATTAATATTAATTTCATCCATTTGGTTTTTTTATCTTTTAAGGTAGCTACTAGAAAATTTACAGTTAACATACATGATTTGTATTTGTGGCTCACATCATATTTCTACTAGACAGCACTGGCCTAGAGAAATAGTTTGGCATTAGCTAGGCATCCTATTTTATTATGTTTCTTTAATGCAGACTCTTAGATTGCTTGTAACTAAGCTTGAGTTATGAGACGTTCCCTTTATATGTTAACTTTTTATATCCTTGGAGATAATTACATTACTGTTTAGCTAAAAAAAAAAGTTTATTGCAACAATATTTTCCATTCTTTGAAAAAGCTGTGACATTTAGCTAAAATAATCCTTGCATCTAAACTGGCTGTATAAATATTTCCTACATTATCAAAATATTGGGTCTTTAGCCAGTGAACAAAGAAATAGGATGTTACCACAGCAACGAAATTTATTTTCTTAAATATGCCAGTTTTAAAGTCTTGGACAATCTTGCCTTAATGTCACTTCATGCTTGGATTACTGCAACAGTCTGCTCAATGGCCTTGCTTCTTCAAGGTTTAACTTTTTCAAGCCATCCTTAAAGTTTGAACTCCTTAAATGATATACAAATCCATCCAAGAATGGCCCTTGTCCACCTCTCTGATACCACCCTGGTCTCTGTGCTCCTGTCATTTTATGTCATTTTAGTGGCTTGAAGAAGTGTCTCACAAACCTGTCCTTATTCAAACTATTGGCAGTATTACCACCCCCTTCCTAATCTGGCAAAAACTGATTTTATTTTTTAAGTCTCAAGATCTCCTGGGAGGCTCTTCCTGCCCTGCCTGAACACTGGCCAGTCCTTCTTTTGGACACTCCCAGTAGCACCGTCATAGCATTTATAAAAGTTTCTAGGACTTGTTAAGATGTCAGGTCTCCCCAGTTAAACGCTCCAAAAGTGTAAGGACTGTGTTGTGCTCACTTTTGTATCCTCAGCACCAAGCAAACTGCTTGGCACAGAGAAAGCTCCTAAGGAATGTATATTAGATGACTTCTTTTGGAAGACACGTATGTCCACATACATACGCTCTCATCCCTAACTTAACTAGAAGACACTTCCTCACCAAGTTATAGCAACACCATCACAAAAGTTTGTATTAAAAAAAAAAAGCCCCCATAGAGATATAATGTTCTCATCAATGCTGGCTGTTCATCAGAATCACCTGTACTACTTTTAAGGGTACAGATGTCCAAGCCACACAAACTCTGAGAATATTAAATTGATAGGGCTGACGTAGGGCCATAGGTGATTCAGATTCACAGTCAGGCTTGAGAACCACTGAACCAAAGACTCAAAGGCACGGGCATAACTCCTGCCCCGTCATGCCTGGAATTTCACAGGGTGAAGTGAGCATCCTGAGAGACTACAAATAGACTGTAAAAACGCAAACACCATACGCATTCCATACATATACTGCATTCTCAGATCAAGCAGATTTCAGCAGTTATTTTTTTAGTATGCCCCCGTATTAATATGCCCACCAATCAGAAGTTGATATTAAACTGAGAATAAAAGTAAAATATTTGCCTGACAAGAAAGAAAAGTGCACCATTCTTGTCAAATGAACTTCCTTATTAGTATCTATCTATACTTTTAAAGTTGTCCTGAGTTAAGGAAACGGACCAGCTAAACCTAAGCAGTGATTCCCACACTCCTTTCACTCCAGTTGTTCTCAGACTAGATTTACGCTTGGAATTTGAAGAGCAAGACAGGATGAGTTTGCTAACCAAGTATTTGTCTTCTCGTGTCACCTCTCCTAGTGGGTTTGATTATTCACTTCAAGGATAAGACTTTGGCTGAGGTTCCCCGTATGGCTGTGGACTTGAAAGCACTTACTAAGGTTCTAGGGTTCTCAGGAAAACATATCAGGGTATCCTCTTTTTCAATGTATTTTAGGGTCTTCCTGGTTGAGCTTGTGTTGTTTTGATAGCCTTTATTATATTCAAAAATTCTTCTAAAACAAACATTTCAGGTTCTGGCTGACATACCATTCAGTTGTTTGCTTTGCTGAAATGACTTCAACTCCTCCTCAGATAAAAATTGGATGAAATTCCCAGACAAGGCTGAGCAAGGAGGATGTGAGACACAGCAGTTAGTAAAATCCACTATCCCAACTTCTCTGAGAGTTTAGAGTTAAAATAAACAACAACAAACATTTCTAGAATTAAAAATAGAAGAGTTAATTCAGGCTGCAGGGTCATTATCTCTATAAGATTTCTCTACATAGATTCATCTCTACAAAAAGCCAGTGCACATCTGCTACTACTAGAATCTGTTTTTCTCTGTTGCCTGGATGAAACTCAAAAAGCAGTTGACTGAAGTTGCTTGTGTAAGTGGTTCCAGTTGCTTAGGGAGCAGTGACCTCTGCAGAACCTTGCACTGTCCACTATATATATGTAGTGTGTGTTGGGGAAATGGTTTTAGCATGATTGGTGTCATGATGCATAAATCACCGAAGACCATGTTCCGAAGAACTCTACCATCTACCAGGTCATGGTGGAACATATGTAGATTACCTGGCACATTTTGTTCTTAAAAAGTAAGTCCCATTACCTCTGTGGCTCATCCTTCTAATTATAATGTCTAATAATCTAGATATTTCCAATTTTAAGAGGAACAGTCTGACATTTCCAGCTGCTCCGGTGTTTCTAGGCTAAAAGTCAAAAAGATAAAATTAGGTAAAACTATATTCTTGACCAAATTTGCAGAAGAATTACAGAAATAAAAGAGTCCTTGTTTCAGGTACATTATGCCCTCCAAAATGGTGTTTGTTATTAGAATAAGCAATTAAAAGAAATTAGTTTAACATTCAGGAATTTTTCTGTGAATTATATTGCCCTACCACCATAGAGAGAGGGTCATTTTATGGTACTTGTAGTCATGATTTAGAGTAGAAAATAGCCAAAGTGAGCAATTTATATTGTGCAAGATTTACAGAGCAACTACAAAAAAAAAATTTATCCAAGTTTCCACCTCAAATTGCCAATGGGATACTGCATTCCAAAGTCTGTATTACATTAACACTAAGAAAAGTGTGAAAAATGAGGGAGAAGGCCTTTAAATGGTGATTCACCAACTACCTCTACCTCTACCATTTCCTGGAGAATATATCCCCACTGTCTTTGACAACTAGTCTGCCAATGTTATGGTAAATGGAAAGCCGGAGAACCCAGGCTTATGGGACACAGCTGGACAAGAAGACAGTGACTGACTGTGTCCCTTCTCCTACTCACAGATGTTTTCTTAATTTGCTTTTCTCTTCCGGGTCCTGCAACATTTGAAAATGGTTATGCAGATTGGTATCCTGAAGTGTGACACCACTGTCCCAACACTCCTATCATCCTGGTGGGGATGAAGCCTGAATTTAGGGATGCTAAAAGCACAACTGAGAAACTGAAGGAGAAGAAACTAACCCCATCACCTACCCGCAGGGTTCAGCCGTGGCCAAGGAGATTGGTGCTGTAAAATACCTGGAGGGCTCGGCACTCATGCAGCGAGGCCTCAAGACAGTGTTTGATGAAGCTTTCAAGAGGTTTGCTGCCCACCTCCCGTCAAGAAGAGGAAGAGAAAATGCCTGCTATTGTAAATGTCTGGTCCCCTCTCCTGCCCTGCCCCATCCCCTGGGAACCTCTGTAGGCTTTGCTCCAACAGTGGAGCCTTTGCACTCAATGCCAAGTTTTTGTTACAGATTAGTTTTTCCATAAAACCATTTTGAACCAATCAGTCATTTTTAGGTTTTGTTTGTTTAATGTGTAAGAGTTCAAACTTTCACATTCTATTAAAGTTTAGCCCTAAAATTTAAAAAAAAAAAAAGAAGTTGGCATAAATGAATGCTTTGGACACCTCACACTATATGAAATCTATGAACATAGAGCTGGATTCCTAGAACTCCATGAGCCTTCCAATAAAGTACCCTCATCCTAGAAAGAGAGTACTCTATAGACAATGACTGTAACAAGACAGTGGGTGTGACTGACTGTCTTCTGAGTTCATCCTCCCCAGGCCGTCATTCCTACATTATTCTGATAGGATTACATAAAAGAGTGACTACTCTACAAAGGGAAAACAAATAAACCTAAAAAACTGTTAGCCCACAGACTAAAACAACACAGAGGGTGACGGGAATCTACGCCTTATTGTTCAGAAATGGCTGTTCAGGAGGACTGGTCTATATCATCGCTGCAAGAATTAGGCACCAAAGCAATCCCGATGAACAAGAAACTGCTTTATGCATAGAAGTCCAGTTAAAGCAGTAGACATACACATAGAAAGAAAAAGGGAGTGAGAGAGCTAATTGCAAAATGTGAAATCTAAATCCCCTACCAGTGGGCCTTAAGTTAGACTCCCGAGAAATCTAAAAGAAAGGTAACCTCTCAGAACCTGACTTCACAGCTTCTGCACTACAGTGTCTACAGTTCCAGAGGAAATCTATCTAGTTTTGCAAATTCCAGAGTTTCTGATGATTGATTAAAGGAGGGTTGTTTTAATCTAAAGTCCCTGAACCCAGAAGACAAAATTTGGAGCTTGTTCTAATCACTGGTAACTAACTGTCTTTATGGCTTTCAATAAACTTACTGCAATAAAGATGTGAGCTGTAGCCTCCTTAGGCACTTCAAAACAAGTCTATGAAATCTGGTAAAGGTTACAGACTAAGTCAGATGGATATATAACATACTTGGAAAACAATTATCTCTCTACTCACATTAAAAAAGTCTCGCACTCTATCCAAAGCACATCAAAACGCTGCATATCATAATCTGCTCTCTGCTTTTTAATCAACTGTCTGTATTTTGTACTGTGCAGACAATGGGAAGAAATTCAGAATGACATATGGAAGGAGTTATCTGTTGAGCTAGGTTTCAAATACCACCATCCTCTGCAGAGTTCAACATTCTTAAATATATCCACTATCTGGCAACTGAGCCCGCACTCCCATCATGCAGCAACCATTTAGGAGGGTCTACTATGTGCCAAGTAAGATACCAGACACTTGGTTTACAAACACAAATGAGATGATTACTGACTTTAAGCAATAATCTAGAAGGAGCTGGACAAGGGAGGAATAATGACACGTAAACAA